ACTTCCACCATGGGGTGTTGAGAGAGGAGCTATGGACATTCTCCTCTACTGTCAAGGTAAACAGCAATGTGTCAGAGGATCCGAGTGTCAGAGGACCATTGCACAGTAGGAATAGTTTCTTCTGAACTGTTGTTAGTCTTTTAGGTCTCCAAACTTTCTAAACACAGAGCCAGTTTACTGTCCTTCAAACTTTGGGGGCTGGACTGTGGCCAGCAGGAGCAGAAAATGTCCTGGTGGCAGTAAACAAAGCCCCATCTTTGGTATTAGGGGAGGAATAGTGCCTGATCATTGATTTCAGTGGGAGGAATAGTACTCCTCCACTGGTGGCAGTGGGAGGAATATTGCTCTGTCATTGGTGTCATTGGGAGGAATAGGGCCCCATTGTTGGTGTCAGTGGCAGAAACTGTGCCATACTGTTGACAGTGAGGTGAATAATGCCCCATGGGCTGGATAAAAGCAAGCAAAGGCCCACATATGGGCCCCCAGTTTGGAGACCACTGTCTCAGGTCTCAGTAATCTCAGTGATCACACGTGACCAAGTGATCACGTGTGATGTCTTTTTTTATGTCTACAGTATATTTTTGACAATACTGACACACGGGCAGAATCCTAAAAATATTGAAGCACCTCCACTCAAGCATATATCTTAGCTTCGTTCAATAGCATATTTTATATGTGGTAAATGTTAATTCTGTTTTACTTGGCTGAAACAAAATGTATGCACAAAACAATTTTTTACCATTTCCTGTTTCACTTGTTTCAAGAATAAAGATCTACTAATGTAAAAATAAACAGGGACTGTGGCTTTTTTATCAGTATGTACCAAGGGTGGCCCGATCAAAGCTTTCCAACTGTTACACAGGAAGACACACTGAAAATAGAAAAAAAAATCTAAAGTCATATAGACAAAATATTATTTGCAGATTTGCTGCACTATGAACATTTTCATAATATTATTCCAATACATTCCAGAATGCACACAGTGGTTTGTGGCTACCCTTAAGATCACAGACCAAGACAGAAGACCAAGAGATTTCACATTTTGAACCCTAAATCTATAGTTTGGAATACATTATACTTCAAATTTAAGAGGAGTGGAAACATTGACTTTGGCTGTCCAGTTCATGAAGAGTGAAGAAGTAGTAAGGAATCAGGTTGGTATATTTGTTAGGCGACATGCTTCAAATTGCTGGCTGTTGTTCACATATGCAGAATAACCTACAGTATCTACATTGTGTTATGAATAAGGATACTAACTTTCCTAGTTTAAAAGCTCAATGCCAAAGCTGTAATGGGGAAAAATTAGTAAAGAAGCAGAAAATGTTCGCTGTGTAAAGTATTGAATAATGTTCATCTGAAAACGTAATAGGATGGATTATTGCCTGTACATAATTATATTATTGAAGTGATCACTGTCTATTTCTTTAGTAAATTAACCCTATAAATGTCACATTGTTCATATTCTCATTTGTTACTGCTTTCTTTCCCTACACTTTTCTCGGTAATTCTGTATCTAATATGACTTACAATATATTTCAAATCAATATTTTGTCGATTTGTGGACAAAATAGAGTCACTATCCAAGAGCAAAAAATATTTTTTTTATTTGATATCCTGTCCTTCTCAGCAATATCTTGTCAATGAAAAAAAATCTTGTCCTTCTTTAGCAAAATCTCCATAATTCTAATTCTCATTTATGTTTATCAGTATGCTGTATTGCCACATTTGCACACATGACATTGATATTTATTTTGTTTGTGTAATTTTGTTTTAAAAATTGGAGAAATAAATTTTGCGTATCTATCTATCTATCTATCTATCTATCTATCTATCTATCTATCTATCTATCTATCTCTGCATCAGTCTCTCACATTTCAAAATTACTAAAGGAGTAGGTACTGTTTTCACACCAAAGCGTACATTTTTCAAGTTTACAAGTGATATACAAGTGATATACTTTTTTGTCGTAGCTCAGTGATCTCTAGAAACTTAACTTGTATAGCAACTGAAACAGTATATACATTTGTTCACTATATGTTGCATAAAACGTTTACTAAAAACACACTCTTCAAAAAAGTTCATAAAGCCAATCATGAGCAAGGAAAAGAAAAAAAATAAAACATCTTGCATGTGATCGAACCTCATTCACTAAACTCAGTGAACATACACTTTACAAAGTCAACATACGTAATTTTTTGATCCCTTTGGAAAATTGCAACAATAGTATTTTATTAATAGCTCCATGTACTGTATATTATAATAACAGTGACCCTAAAAGTCATTTTTAAATATGTTTTGTAGTCCTTTGTCTGCTCACACTAAAACTGGAGAGTGCAAAATCTGGTGCAGCTGTGCATGGTAGCCAATCAGCTTCTAACCACACACCTTGTTCAATTAGGCTTTGACAAATAAATATGAAGGCTGATTGGTTTCTATGCAGAACTGGACCAGGTTTTACACTCTCCAGTTTTACTAAATGAACCTCAGTGTATTAAATTTAATGTCATTTAAAAGGAAGGTAACTTTAAATAGGTACCAGTATATTTATTCTTCTATAATGTGTTCAGTGTAAATTCAGTAAAATGAAGGTGTCAGTATATTCTGCTAAAGTAGAAGATGTGTAGACAAGGTTTCCAGCAGCAAGCCAAGACTTAACACACAGCATCAGATACTATAGGCACATTTTACACAAGGTAAGTAACGCAAATGTTTCACATTTTAAAAGATTCCCTTATGGTGAAAATTTAAAAGGTCTGGGGGCCTTAAACTGGATAATCATTTCAATCTAATTTTACAATCTCTGTACTATTACCTTCAGATTTATAAAAATTGTAAGGCATACTAAACAAGGGTGTTCAGTCGAGAAATCCTTTGACATTGGTAGACCTACAGGAGACTGTACAATTAGGTTGTACTATGTTTGGGCAACTTTATAATTTGTTTGAATTGGGGCTCTATAACTTTTACAGTATGTATGCCCCAGACTGATCTCCCCATAAATACTTAAAGTGTATTTATAGCCATTTGTTTTTTAGTTTTGGATAGAGCAGGGAAGAGTTAAACCCCACCAGGGTAATTTTTAGTTTATTTTTTTGTTTGTGTTGGGAATATTTCCCTTCACATTCAGACCCAGAGATGCATATTAGAAGAAATCCCCCAAAGTGAGGGAAATTCCCTTCTTAGTTATCACCAGAACAGGTGTTCCCTCAGGAAGAGTTCCTTTACTCTTGCTCTGGATACAACTCAACAATTGTGGATTTCCCCTCAATTTTCTTTCTCAGTGATAATTGTCAACAGTGCATATAGACGGGGACACTGACAGCAATAACAACTTAAGGCTCTAAACCAAGGATCTCCAAACTTTCTAAACATAGGGCCAGTTTACTGTTCATCAGACTTTCGGGGGGCCGGACTGTGGCCATTGGGAGTAGAAATTGTCTCGGCATCAGTAGGGGGAAACAACACATCTTTGGTATTAGGGGTAGGAATAGCGCCCGTTCATTGGTGTAAGTGGGAGGAATAGTGCCCAATTGTTGGTGTCAGTGGGAGGAATAGTACACAGTTGTGTCAGTGGGAGGAATAGTGCCCCATCATTGGTGTCAGATTGAGGAATAGTGTCCTATTGTTGGTGTCAGTGAGGGGAAATGGTGCCCCATCATTGGTATCAGTGGGAGGATTAGTGCCCCATCATTAGTGTAAGTGGGTGGAAGGAATAGTGCCCTGTAGTTGGTCAATGAGAAAATAGTGCCTCACTGTTGATGTCAGTAGCAGTAATTATGCCCCATTGTTGGTGGGAGGTAAGGAATAGTGCCTTGTATCAGTGGGAGGAAAAGTGCCCCGGGGGCCATATAAAGACAAGCAAAGGGCCACAGTTTGGAGACCACTGCTCTAAACCTTCTCTACTTAATCCAAAATGAAAAAAAAAAAAATAGGTTTTGCATAGAGATACACTTTCATTGGCATTTGTTATCTGATTTGTCACTAAGTAATAAGCTTACTGTGCTTTGCACACTATTAGTATTAAAAAAAAACTTTATAGTATCCGATCCGTGATAAGTTGTCAATTTTCTTGTATCTTGAAGATATGTTTTTTCCAGGTCAACCTTCAACTTTGAAAGATAGTGATAGTGAAAGTGTTGCTTTCATGTGTATTTATATAATAAATAGAACATTTGTCAAATTGAAGATGATGTTTTACCTGCTAACCCTAGCCTGCCCTGTGGGGCTAACTATGGTCATACTACCTTTGGATCTATATGTTGCTTCCTAAATATCAGTACATGAAGATTCTTCAAAGGGTGGCTGCTAATGGGCAAGACCAGTGCAGAAGAGCTCATACAGCGTGATCCAACTCCTGTGGTATACATTTGCAATCTTCACAATACTTTTTTTCAGTAAATATGAGATGCATTCAAAGCCATCCAATGTAAAGTAGATCTAGAACCATTACGTTTTTTCTTAAATACAGTTGGTGGTGGTTAAACTGCAATTTGGTTTATTTTAGCCGTCTATATTTCAGTCGGGAAATTTCCATTCACCTCCTGTCATGGAGGCACAATTGGAAGTGGGAGGACATCTATCTAAAGTAAGGGGAAGTCCCCTCTTTGACAGCTCTCACTAGAACAGTTATCCCCATCAAACAATTTCCAATCCCCTTCTCTCCTGATGGGAATGGTCACCAAGACAAACGGAAGGGATGAATCTACCAAATGGTGACACCAAACGGGTTTATTTACTGAAGCCGAAGAGTGCAAAATCAGGCTCATTTCTGCATTGAAACCTATCAGCTTCTAATCTCTGCTTGTTCAATTAAGCTTTGGCAATAAAACTTGGAAGCTGATTGGTTCCTATGCAGATGTGAGTCTGATTTTTCACTCACCAGCTTTAGTAAATAAACCCCCAAGTCCTAAATGTTTAATTGTCATTTAAAGAAGCATTTCTGCTATTTGCTAATAAAGATGCTGTTTCACTTTTACAGTTTGGAACACCATTTGACAATCATGACTGAAGGTGAAACAGACATAGCAGAGCATTCAGATAATACTGGTAAGCATGTAGTGATTTCTTTTATAGTAAAGTACTATTAAGGCTTTATGTGGGGGTGTGGCCAAGATGGCGACCTGAGCGGTTGCACTTGCCGGAGCTCTGCTGGACTTATCCTGCATTTATCCTGTTTTCCTGCATAGACTAACTCCCTTTCTCCTCTGATGCCCTGCCGAAAGTCTGGGACACCTGCTAGTAGGGGTAAGAGGCTCCATTTTCCACCACTGGAGGAGGCTGTTGCCCCAACTCCTGGCGGCCGTGTGGCATTGTGTGCTCAGCTCTGTCACAACATGGCATCACACAAACTGAGCCTGAGGACCTGTCTGACGTGATGGCAGCGATTGCCTCCTGCCAGACTGCCTTAACATCTAAAATAGAGGCAGTACAGCTGGATGTGGGCTTGATGCGGCAGGACTTTGATAAGCTCCGTTCCCGTATCTCTACGGCGGAGCAGAGGCTTGGCCTGGCAGAGGACTTGATTACTACTACCCTTCGCTCCTTGCAAACGAAGGTCAAGGCCCTGGAATACAAGGCGGAGGATGCAGAGAATTGGAACTGGTGGATCAGTATCCGCATTGTGGGCCTGGCGGAGGGGGCGGAGGGCACTGCTCCGGCAGTGTTTATTGAGGATTTGCTACGGACTCTGCTTCATGCTGCCCAGTTCTCTCCTTAATACATTGTGGAGAGGGTGCATCGCGTCCCACCCAAACCTGGTCTGCCGGGGTCCCCACCTCGCACTTTTATCCTGCGGTTCCTCAACTTTTGTGACAGGGATGAAGTTTTGCTGGCGGCCCACCTACAGGGGGAGCTTGCTTACCAGAATGGCAAATTACTCCTTTTCACGGATTATTCGGTGGAAACACAAAGGTTGCGCAGATCATTTGACCAGGTGAAGGCAACTATGTGGAATAGTGGTATCCATTACAGTGTCCTGTATCCTGCTCGTTTGCGTGTTCAGGATGGGGAGACAACTCAATTTTTCATCTCGCCACATGAAACCTCTGCGTGGCTAGACATCTTACCACCTCATCACTGATTCTTGGCCCTGCGAGTGTTATACTACTCCCCATCATGGTGTATCCTTGTGAATGTGCCTTTGTTGCCAGAAATTGGGTGTCTCTGTTATGTACTCTGATTTGTGTTCCTTCAATCTTTTTTGCACCTGTTGTGCCTGTTTCTTGTTGGAACAGTAACTTAAGAATGGGCCCCTGATTTTTCAGGTGAACTTTGCTATGCTTTAAAACTTTTTAATATATGCCTCGGTGCACAAGAACCGGTTATCCGGATGTTCTGCTATATGTTGATATACCTCACCCTATGTTTTGCTGTTACAACTCCGTGCTGGTTGCTTGGGCCTACTACCCTGGATTGGTTCCTGGACTTTATGTCATTAGTATCCATTGGCTGAGGTTGGACCATCAAGTCCGTTCTACTGTTTGTGCCACGCCTGCGTAGACTCCTCTTCGTTCTTCATGCAGCAGGGGAATCTTTTCATTGTTTTTGGACCACTGGCAAGTCTTCTGATCTTTTTCCATATGACTGCTCCAGCATCTCCTATATTGCTCCAGTATTCCTTTTTTTTTTTGCATTTGAGCCAGTCCCTCTGGCTCACACCTCCTCTTTTTGTGTTTTGGTCTGTATAGACTGTTTTGGGGACCAAGGCATCACTGTGTTGGGGTTGGTGGTGTGGGTCATTCGTCCTTTGTTTTTTTGACAGGTGGGTTTACAGGGCGGGTGTGTTGGAGGTTGTTTCCCCTCTTTGTTTATTGTTTTTCATGCGTGCTTTGTTTGTTACCTATTTGTACGACATGGTTTATGTATTTCTGTTTTGTCCCCAGTCTATTTCTCCGTCCACTGTTTTCCTTTGTGTAGCCTGCTATCCGGGTCCGGCGCTGAGGAAATGAGGATCCCATCATGGCTTTCTCCTGTTTACTATTACTTTTGGCCTTACAGATGTCTCAAGTGACAATTGTCTCCTGGAATGTCAAGGGTCTTAACTCCACGGTCTTTACTTTTTAGGTTTCTCCAGAAGTTCAGCCCCCATGTCTGTATCCTGCAAGAAACCCACCTGTTGTGCTCTAAAATTATGAGTCTTCAGAGGCCTTGGTTGGGTGCCCATTACCATGCCACTTATTCTAACTATGCTCATGGGGTGAGTATCCTCATTCGTAGATCTCTTCTGTTTCAGGTCCTTGGCATTCGCATTGACCCGGATGGTAGGTTTGTCCTGGTGCATGCCTGAATCTATGACAGGGAATTAGCACTGGTGGGACTGTATTTACCCCCTCCCACCTCTGTTCAGTTTTTGAATACTATTATGAAATTGATTGTAACTTATAACACGAACAATGTGCTACTGCTGAGTGATTTTAATATGGTCACTTGCCTGGATCTGGATGCACGTACCGACTCGATCTTCCCCCGATTTACTGTGTTGGTCCTCTACTTTTGCCCTTACAGATGTTTGGCTTCATCATTACCCTTCAGGACAGAAATATACTTGTACAGGACCCTTTCCAGGATAGATCTTGCATTTCCATCTCCATCGGTCCTGCAGTGGGTTGACGCAGTTAAGATATTACCTCGTGGGGTGTCTGATCATGCTCCCTTATCCTTGACCTTATCATTTTCCTCACCTCCTGAGTGCTGGGGTGTGGCGGCTTTCCAGATTCTGGGCAATGGATGAACAGTTGCAGGAACCTCTTACTGCATCTATTTGTAATTATTGGGTTTTGAATGAAGAATCTACTTCTCCCCTGGTGTTGTAGGAGTTTTTCAAGGCTTGGATAAGAGGGGAGTATATTTCTAGCATCTCTGCTCTCCAAAAGGAGGCAGCCTGCTCTTTGGAGACTCTGGAGGAGGAGGCGCCAGGCCTGGAGGAGACATATGTTGCTGCCCCTGACCGGACCCGCTATGCAGCTTGGCGTCGAGCCCTGTGCCAGCTGGCTACCTATAGAATTGCACAAACCAAAAAGGCTATGCTCTCTTCTGCCCTGCATGTGTTCAAATATGGTGACAAAAATGGTAGGCTGCTTGCGTGGTTGGCTAGGGATAGATCCCCAATGTTGCCCATTGGTTCTATTCGGGACGCTGCGGTTCATGTTCTTTTTGCATCGGACTCTATCAACACTCGCTTTTTGGATTTCTATAGAGACCTTTATTCCTCTCAGCTATCCTTTTCTTCCTCTGACCTGTCTGCCTTCTTAGACTCTGTTTCTCTTCCCTGTTTGGCTGCATCGGACAGGGAGGCTTTGTAGGCGGATATTTCTCTCGAGAAGGTGCAGGAGGCGATTGGGTGGCTGCAGGGCGGTAAGACCCCTGGGGCAGATGGACTCCCCGTGGAGTTCTATTCTCAATTTTCCAAACTGTTGGCCCCCCGACTGCTGGCTCTGTTTTCTGAATTCTCGTCCCTTGAGTCACTGCCTGTATCTATGGAAGAGGCTCTTATTGTCTTGATTCCTGAGCCTGGTAAGGACTTGCAGGATTGTGCCTCATATTGTCCTATTTCCCTATTGAACATGGACGCCAAAATGTTTGCGAAGATCCTCACCACACGTCTGTCCAAGGTCATTGAAGATCTAGTTAATGTGGATCAGATGGAGTTCATGCTGGGTAAGGGAACGGACATTAATATTAGGCGCCTTTTTCTGAACCTTTCTGTTTCCCACATTGGTTCTGGCTGTAGGGTCATTGTATCTCTTGACGCTGAAAAACTGTTTTATTCAGTGGAGTGGATTTACCATTGGGAGTTCCTTCGGTGCTTCGGCTTTGGTCCAAAATGTCTACTTTGCCTTCGACTGTTGTATAGATCACCCAGGGCGCGGGTCCGTACCAATGACAGACTGTCGGAATCCTTTCTGCTTCACCGGGGCACGCATTAGGGCTGTCCACTATCTCCAGGCCTGTTTGCTCTGACCTTGGAGCCCTTAGCAGTATTGACTAGGGAGTCTTCGGAGGTTTGGGGGTTGCGGTTGGGGCCCTTGGAAGAGAAAATATCCCTGTACGCTGACGATGCCTTATTATACCTTAATGATGCTGGTCAGTCTCTTTTGGTAGTGCTTTCATATATTTGACCATTACAGATCTTTCTCCGGGATTCAGATCAACTGGTTCAAATTGATTCTTTTCCCTCTTGATGCCCATGCCTCTGAATCTGCATGTTTTTCGCCGTTACGTTGGATTGACGAATTTCGGTACCTTGGTGTTCAGGTGACTAGGGATCTTTCTGGGTATCTGGCCTTTAACCTTTATCCTCTTCTTCTGTCACTCAAAGCACAATGCTCTGCTTGGGCTGATCTTCCCCTGAATTTACTTGGCCGTATTAACCTCCTCAAATTGATTTTCTACCTAAATTTAATTATGTTTTTTGGAATTGCCCTGTTTGAATTCCCCCTTTTTTTTCACTGATTTCGATAGGTGGGTTGGTTCGTTTATCTGGCATGATTCTCTTTCTCGGCTGGCGAAGTCCACTGTTTGGCTTCCTCCTAGACTGGGGGGCTGGCACTACCCAATTTTCGAATATATTTTTGGGCGGCGATATTGGTATCTGTTCGTTGGTGGTGCATGGGTTCCAGATCTAACGCAGCGGTGTGTTTGGAGCAGCTTCCTTGGGCTCCCTGGTGGATCTGCGTACTTTTATGTATAGGAGACAGAGGGCATATGATGGGGTGCCGGAGCCTACGCGCACTATGTGGAGGATTTGGGTGGTGGCCCAACGTCATTTTGTGTCGCCTTGTCAATGGTCTCCGGGTCAACCACTCTGGGGTAACCCTTCTCTTCCTCAAATCTATACCATTCCTAACCCTCTAATTTGGGCTAGATATGGGGTTAAGACCTTGGCTGATATTATGCCACAGGGGGCTTTTCTACCCTTTTCCCTGCTTTCCATTACTTTTAGACTGCCGCCTCATATGTTATTTAGGTACCTCCAACTGAGACACGCTGCAAGGGCTCAATTTGAGCGGACACCTCCCCTTCTCCAGACTGACCCGGTTGAGGAACTG